AATCCTCAGAGTGCCAAGGTTTAGGCTTTCTTTTCTCCAACCTCTATTCTCTCTTCAGGTGAATTTTCTCAATTCATAGCTTTATGTAGGAGAGATAACTCACAGTTATATGCAGAGATATCCACATATATGGATATGTGTGTTTATCTCATACCTTAATAATCAGGTACTAGATAGATTTAATATTTTATTTCTGTACACATGCATATATTTGTGTGTGTATGTATCTATAGATATATATTTGAGAGTAAATAGTCGGCAGGTAGGTTGGCAGATAGATTGATAGCTATCCTAGGCTTTTAAATTAAAACTGACCCATATTTCTACTTGCCTAAGCTGCCTCAAATTCATTATTTTTTCCCCAGTCCCATTTTGGTCCTTTTCCAGTTGCCTCAGTCTGTACATACAGCTTCCCCTCTAATCAATTATTGCAGGCCACAATGCAGGAGCATTTCCTTATCGCTTTTGCACCTTGAAATCCCTTCAAAATCCTGTTGATCTTATGCCACTCTGTCCTCTCTCACAGCTTGTCTTAAATACCTCTTCTCTTAGGCCATCCTTTCCTTACCCTTTCTACAATCTACTCCCTTCTTATGTGCTCTTTGAGCACTGGACAGGGTACCTTTCTTTTACAGCTTTGCAATTATTGGTGGCATTTATTTATTTATTTATTCATTCATTCATGTACCATTTTCTCCTATTTAAAAGCTTTGTAAGGGCAAATCAAGCATCTGACTTGTTTAACTCTGTGTCCCTATGACAAACTATATGCATAGATAAGTGAACAGCAGCATCATATAAGAAATGAAGCAAATGCTTTAAGTCTGTAAGTCTTAGTAAAGGAATACGAGATGTGAAGTAGAAGAAAACCAGCCTAAACAGAGCAGAGCCTTTGTGTGTGTGTGTCAGTTTATGCACACTATTTAGGTTGAAATAGGGAATGGCCATGGGTTCATTTGTTTTCTTTTATAACTCTTCAAAGGGCTTTTTTTTATGTGTACTTCATGCAAATACATGGGTGGTATGACTATTTTCTGTGATTTAATATGATATGAAATATGTCTCTGAAATACTATTCTGTTTTTCCATTAACATATTTCAGCAATTTTCAGCTTGCATGACTGGACATTTGATTAACAGGAAAAAAAGAATAGGATTAGATGTAATTAACACCTCAAATGTGATTGCCTTATTAATCTCTAATGTCACTTTTAAAGTATTAAATACACATATCACTTAGATGTGGATGCTTAACTTTTGTCTTCCTCTGTGGTGTATGGCTCTGAGTCCTAGCCATAAAGGGCAGGGGAAATACCTTTCTTAATTATGTTAATAGTACCCTCCCATAATTAGAAAATATGCAAATGCAATTTTATTTGAGTGGGATAAGCAGATTGTGGAGTCGATAATACCCACCACTGCCCTTTTTATTTTACTAAAATGGTGTTCTCTGTCTCATGTCTGTTCTATTTTCACGAAATGATAACCACCACCAGAACTAACCCTTCATTTGCTTCCCATGGTTGTAATCTAAATCAGTTATGTTTTTAATCCTGCTGAAATGTAAAACTCCTTGAGAATTTGAAATAATTTGTTGAATAGGCAGGTGGATATATTGGTTAGAAGCAGTAACTCTGGGCCTATAGTATACTGGTGGAGTTAGTACCCAAGTGAGATGCTAGTGACAGAGGTCAACCAGATATTGTCCTGTCTAAAAGAGGCAACATCAGTAGGCTGGAAATTTTTGTCAAGTGGTAACAAAGATGTAGTAATATTCTATCTTTCCAATTTGTGGAGGGAAGCTAGAAAGAAACTTAGGTTTTTTTTTTTTTT